AAAATTATAGAGGAATAAGTTTACTGAGTATACCAGGAAAAGTGTACGGTAGGATTATTATTGAAAGAATTAGAGGTAAGACAGAATGTAGAACTGCGGATGAGCAACGAGGTTTTAGAGTGGGTAGGGGATGTGTAGATCAAGTGTTTACATTGAAGCATATATGTGAGCAGTATTTAGATAAAGGTAGAAAAGTTTTTATTGCATTTATGGATTTAGAACAGGCATATGATAAGAGTGGATAGAGGAGCAATGTGGCAGATGTTACAAGTATATGGAATAGGTGGTAAGTTACTAAATGTTGTAAAGACTTTTTATGAGGATAGTGAGGCTCAGGTTAGGGTGTGTAGAAGAGAGGGAGACTACTTCCCGGTAAAGGTGGGTCTTAGACATGGATGTGTAATGTCACCATGGTTGTTTAATATATTTATAGATGGGGTTGTAAAAGAAGTAAATGCTAGAGTGTTCGGAAGAGGGGTGGAATTAAATTAAGGGGAATCAAATACAAAGTGGGAAGTGACACAGTTGCTTTTTGCTGATGATACTGTGCTTATGGGAGATTGTAAAGAAGAACTGCAAAGGTTAGTGGACGAGTTTGGGAGTGTGTGTAAAGGTAGAAAGTTGAAAATGAACATAGAAGAGAGTAAGGTGATGAGGGTATCAAATGATTTAGATAAAGAAAAATTGGATATCAAATTGGGGAGGAGGAGTATGGAACAAGTGAATGTTTTCAGATACTTGGGAGCTGATTTGTCAGCGGATGGATTTATGAAGGATGAGGGTAATCATATAATTGATGAGGAAAAAAAAAGGTGAGTGGTGTGCTGAGTTATATGTGGAGACAAAAAACGTTATCTATGGGGGCAAAAAAGGGGAAAAGTATGAAAAAGTAGTCCCAACACCTTTATGGGTGTGAAGTTGGGTTGTGAAGCAGCAGGGGAGGGGGCGGGGCAGTGGGTGTCCTTTTAAAGGGGCAATGAGTGGTGAAAATATTATGCAGAAAATTCGGATGTGGAAATTAGGAGAAAGGGGGGTTTAAATAAAATTTTATTAGTCAGGGGGCTGAAGGGGTTGTTGAGGGGGTTTGGGTATTTAGAGAGAATGGAAAAAGTAAAGACTGGGACGCAAAAATCGTGGGGGAAGGAAGGGGGGGTAGGGGTGTCCTCGAAAAGGGTTTGGGAGGGGGGGGGGTAAAGGGGGTTTTGTGGGCGAGGGGTTTTGGACTTCCCATGTGTGGTAGCGTGTTGATAGGGTAAATGGTTTGGGCCTGTGATCTTTTGAGTGTGAGCAGGATAATATTTAGTGGGGGAAGGGAAAACCGGTTATTTTTATATACCGGGGATTTGAGTCTGGAAAGGGGAAGTACAATGCCTGCACTCTAAGGGAGGTTTTGGGGATTTTAGCAGTTTGGGGGGATATGTTGTGTATTTTTTACAGGTACTATATGCTTCTAAACTGTTATGTTCTGAGCACCTCTGCAAAAGCAGTGATTATGTGGGAGTGAGGTAAAAGTGTTGAATGATGATGAAAGTATTTTCTTTTTGGGGATTTTCTTTCCTTTTTGGGGCACCCTTGGTGGGAGACAGCCAACTTGTTAAAAAAAAAAAAATATCTATAAGTATAAATAATAGAAGTCCTCAGGTTGTTCTTCAGCTCTATATCCTTGGTTAGGCCTCATTTAGACTATACTGCTCAGTTCTGGGGCCGTATTCGAATGGGATATAAATGCTCTGGAAAACGTACAGAGGAGGATGACAAAGATGATCCCATGTATCAGAAATCTTCCATATGAGGACAGACTGAGGGCCCTGAATCTGCACTCTTTCAAAAGGTGTAGAATTAGGGGGGATATAATCGGGTGTATAAATGGAAAACAGCAAAAAATAAAGGGGATGTATTAGCGTGTGAAAAAAATTTGCCTAGATAGGACTCGCAGTAATGTTTCAAGTTGGAAAAATTAGATTCAGGAAGGTTTTTAGGAAAGCACTGGTTTGGTAATAGAGCTGTGGATGAGTGGAACAAACTCCCGAGTACAGTTATTCAGGCTAAAACATTGTGTAGTTTTAAAAATAGGTTAGATAAATACATGAGTGGGTGTGTGTGGGTGTGTGTGGGTGTGAGTTGGACCTGACTAGCCTGTGCTGCTGGGTCTGGTGCCGTGCTCCTTCCTTGAGCCAGACTGGGTGGGTCATTGGGCTAATGGGGGGGGGGGGGGGTAGACCTCTGCTCCGCATGAGTCAGCAGACCTGATGCAGTGTTCCTTCTTTCTTATGTTCTTCTTAATATATGTTAGTGTAAACTTGTTATCTAGTATTTATATGCATTTTTAAGTGGAAAAAAAGGGGTTCCACTTGATGGCAATTTCTACTTTACGGCGGTAGCCTGGAACCTAACCTGCCGTATAAGTAGGGCCCTACTGTATATACACACCCCTCTAGGGTTCCTTTTTTCTTACCGGTTCTTCTTCTTGTTTATTTCCTCTTATCTCCATGAGGAAGTGGAACAGAATTTTTCCTCCTTAAGCCATGCATGTTATATGAGGCAATTAAAATGCCAGGAGCAGGGGGATAGTAACCCCTTCTCCTGTCACTAAATTTATAGAGAGAAACTTTCATTTTTCTTTCTGGGCCACCCGGCTTCAGTGGGATACGGCCAGTGCGTTGAAAGAAAAAAGAAACATGCAAGATTGCAGGTATGTCTTGCTACTTCTACTTATACTTAGGTAACACTACATACGCATGTTCAAGCATATACATACAGTGGAACCTCAGTATGCCAACCATTCCAGAAGGTTGTTCGAGTGCCGCTCCATTTAAGTATCGAACAAGTTCTTCCCAACCAATTTTCTATTTGGTTGGCTGTTATCACTAATCGTCATAGGCTCAATGGTGACTTCTTTTTTTTTCAACAAGTCGGCCATCTCTCACCGAGGCAGGGTGACCCAAAAAGAAAATACATACTTTCATCATCGTTCAACACTTTCACCTCACTCACACATAATCACTGTCTTTGAGGAGGTGCTCAAATACGACAGTTTAGAAATCCCTCCAAATTGTCAATATCCCAAACCCCTCCTTTAAAGTGTAGATGCGCATTGTACTTCTCATTTCTAGGACTCAAGTCCGGCTAACTGGTTTCCCTAAATCCCTTCAATAAATACTACCCTACTCACATTCCAACAGCTCGTCAGGTCCCAAAAATCATTTGTCTCCATTGATTCCTATCTAACACGCTCACACACACTTGCTGGAAGTCCAAGCCCCTCACCCACAAAACCTCCTTTATCCCCTCCCTCCAACCTTTTCAAGGATGACCCCTACCCCTCCTTCCTTCCCCTACAGATTTATGCACTCTCCAAGTCATTCTACTTTCATCCATTCTATCAAAATGACCAAACCACCTTAACAAACCCTCTTCAGCCCTCTAATACTTTTAGTAACTCCACACCTCCTAATTTCCACACTCCAAATTCTCTGCATAATATTTACACCACACATTGCCCTTAGACAGGACATCTCCACTGCCTCCAACCACCTCCTCGCTGCAGCATTTACAACCCAAGCTTCACACCCATATAAGAGTGTTGTTACCACTATACAGTGGACCCCCGCTTAACGATCACCTCCAAATGCGACCAATTATGTAAGTGTATTTATGTAAGTGCGTTTGTACGTGTATGTTTAGGGGTCTGAAATGGACTAATCTACTTCACAATATTCCTTATGGGAAAAAATTCGGTCAGTACTGGCACCTAAACATACTACTGGAATGAAAAAAGTTCGTTAAGCGGGGGTCCACTGTACTTTCATACATTCCCTTCTTTGCCTCCATAGATAACATTTTTTTTTTTTTTGTCTCCAAGATACATCAATGCACCACTACCTTTTTTCCTTCATCAATTCGATGGTTAATCTCATCCTTCATAAACCCATCCGCTGACAAGTCAACTCCCAAATATCTGAAAACATTCACTTTTTCCATATTAATTCTCTCCAAAGTGATATCCAATTTTTCTTTATCTAAATCATTTGATACCTTCATCACCTTACTCTTATCTATGTTCACTTTCAACTTTCCACCTTTACACACCCTCCCAAACTCGTCCACTAACCTTTGCAACTTTTCTTTAGAATCTCCCATAAGCACAGTATCATCAGCAAAAAGTAACTGTGTCAACTCCCACTTTGTACTTGATTCCCCATAATTTAATCCCACCCCTCTCTCTAACACCCTAGCATTTACTTCTTTTACAACCCCATCTATAAATATATTAAACAACCATGGTGACATTACACTTCCCTGTCTAAGACCTACTTTTACCGGGAAGTAATCTTCCTCTCTTCTACATACACTAACCTGAGCCTCACTATCCTCATAAAAACTCTTTACAGTATTTATTTTTACAAGTCATACAACAAAACGCCAAAAAATGCTAAGAAACATGAAATAGTTTTCAGCGAAGTTCTGACAGGCCTTATTTATTTGGTCGAGTGCTGAGCTTTGTTCGAGTAGGAAGCTGGTCGTATACCGAGGTTCCACTGTATATATACACACCTCTGGGTTTTCTATTCTCTTACTAGTTCTTGTTTTTGTTTATTTCCTCTTATCTCCATGAGGAAGTGGAACTGAATTCTTCCTTCTGTGAGCCATGCGTGTTGTAAGAAGCGACTAAAATGCCAGGAGCAGTGGGCTAGTAATCCTTTCTCCTGTATTCATTACTTAAGCTAAAAAGAGAAACTTTTCTTTTTCTCTTTGGGCCACCCTGCATCAGCTGGTTCATTGAAAGAATAATAATAATTCACCTCATCAAACTTAGGCCTTATTAAATTGGCCAAATTTTTAAAATATGCCATTAGTCATTAAGAACATCTCCAACTGCAAAAGCGAGGTATGTTTCTCTAACTCTGAAGGACCTCACAATTAACTTTTATATCACGAGTTAAGTTCAAAATGATGGCAATTAAATTGTATTAAATTCTGCAGAAAATAATCATTACTCACCTTCCTAGAAAAGCTGTCCACAGCTGCCTGTGATTAAGTGCAAGAGTTGACTCTTTCTCAGAAAACATTCGTGCTAGCAAGGAAACTGATCCATAACGCTCTTCTTCATCCGAACTCTTCAATTTAAACTCCAACTGCAAGAAAAGTTGCATACTTTTTCTTACCAATACAAATCTATATCACATAACATATAAATAGCATCTCCCAATTACATGCCTACAGTATTTGCAAGCTTAAATACAAATTTATAAAGAGATAAAGAGAATTTAACCCTTAAACTGTCCAAATGAAAGATCTACATTGACATGCGTGTGCTCCAAACGTAGATCTTCGTCCAATTTTACATGCTTTCAAATGGAGAAAATAAAGGTCAGAGCGTTACACACGTCAATGTAGATCTACGTTTGGACAGTTTAACCCGTAAATGGTCCAAACGTATATATACGTTTTTTCAACATTTGAAAGTATGTAAAAAAAGTAGATCTTCTTTTTGTTTTTTTACATTTGAAAATGTGTAAAAAACTGATCTACTTTTTTTTTTGTTATATTTGAAAATATGTAAAAAAACGTAGATCTACTTTTGTAGCACTACACATGTGAACGTAGATCTGCTTGGACCGTTTACGGGTTAAAGGTTAATGATGATATCCAGTTTATTATTATCATCAAATTAAGAATTAAATTCGTAAGGGTCACGTGGAACTGCAGGGAAGGATTAACGGAAGAAATGCGCAAAGGTTATGAATGAGCATGATGTAGGAGCGTGCACAGTTAGGGGTTGGGGAGGCTAGTGCATGCAAAATTGTAATAAAAGCTTGGTGTAATAGGCTAGTTTTCAGTTAAAAAGCCAAAGAGAGCATCTGAATTAAAGGTGGGACTTTCAGCATGGTCAATGAGAGTATGTGCTGAGGCAGTTTAGACAATGATATTCCAGCCAATTTAAGTCCAAAAAATATGTACAAAGGTAAAATAAAATCTTTCCACACACAATAATTACATGCAGTACAATTACTAAATCTTTCAATTACATACCTGCGGTAACACAGATAATAGGACTGAAGGACAGATGTGATTCAATTCATATATGAGGTCGTACACCTTCTGAGATATGGTCAGTGTCTTTTCTTCACGCCCCAATATTAAGACATGATTGAAGAACTGTTGAAATGATAATACTCATTACAAGGTCTTGAAGACATACAACTTGCTATGGCTAGACAGCATTAAGACACTTGAGGAAGGTATCCCCAGAATTTTTGTAAGCATACCTCTCAATATGATAAACTGCAACAATCTTCAAAACAAATGTTTCTCTGCCTATCTCTCTTACTACAGTACATACAACCTCTAACTAACTCTCTTTCCCATCTGCTTGGCTTTCAACATTGACAAACTATTTCCTGTAATAAAGTTGGTAGAATTACCGACAATATGTAAAGTAAAAGGACACAAGTGCAACTAATGAGACATTTATTGTGGCAACGTTTCGCTCTCCAGGAGCTTTATCAAGCCATTACAAACAATACGCGGACACAGAGGGTATATAAAGGCTCAGAGTGAGGTGCAATACTAGTGAGGTACCATTTCGATGTTCACTAGTGGTAGTAGTAGTAGTAGTGGTAGTGACAAAAGTAATACAATATGGTAGAGCAATTAATTCGTACATGAGTAAAAGGATATAAAAGCTATTACTTGGGTAACATAAAAATAGGTTGGACAAATAAAGAGAGGAAAGAGGCAGCTTGTTTCAGTGTTCACTCTCTGTAATGTGATGTGATGGCAGGGTTTACTGTTTTCAGGAGGATTCTTGCTAAGACTTCGGAGATGGTGAAGCTGCCGTTGTTTTGTTTAATTGTATTTGAAACAGCGATCAGTGCTGATTCGAGGCACTTTCGTCTGCGGAAATTAGTTTCTTTGATCACTAATTGGGCGTCTCTGAATTTCATGAGATGATTGGTGGAATTTCGGTGTTGTACACAGGCGTTGTTCAAGTTATCGTTCCTACATGCGTAAATGTGTTCATTGAGGCGGGTGACGAGGTTTCTTCTGTTTCACTTACGTAAATCTTGTCACAGCCTCCACAGGGTATAGTGTAAACCCCTGCATTGACTGGTTCGTGGTGCTTGGATTTTGTCCTGGTTAGATCCTTTATTGAAGTGCTAGAAGCTAACACCAGAGTCGCCATCGCTTCTAGCACTTCAATAAAGGATCTAACCAGGACAAAATCCAAGCACCATGAACCAGTCAATGCAGGAGTTTACACTATACCCTGTGGAGGCTGTGACAAGATTTACGTAGGTGAAAACAGCAAGAAACCTCGACCCCCGCCTCAATGAACACATTACGCATGTAGGAACGATAACTTGAACAACGCCTGTGTACAACACCGAAATTCCACCAATCATCTCATGAAATTCAGAGACGCCCAATTAGTGATCAAAGAAACTAATTTCCGCAGACGAAAGTGCCTCGAATCAGCACTGATCGCTGTTTCAAATACAATTAAACAAAACAACGGCAGCTTCACCATCTCCGAAGTCTTAGCAAGAATCCTCCTGAAAACAGTAAACCCTGCCATCACATAGTCTCTCCTGTTATACTACACAAAGCACATTACAGAGAGTGAACACTGAAACAAGCTGCCTCTTTCCACTCTATATTTGTCCAACCTATTTTTATGTTACCCAAGTACGTAATAGCTTTTATATCCTTTTACTCATGTACGAATTAATTGCTCTACCATATTGTATTACTTTTGTCACTACCACCACTACTACTACTACTACCACTACCACTAGTGAACATCAAAATGGTACCTCACTAGTATTGCACCTCACTCTGAGCCTTTATATACCCTCTGTGTCCACGTATTGTTTGTAATGGCTTGATAAAGCTCCTGGAGAGTGAAACGTTGCCACAATAAATGTCTCATTAGTTGCACTTGTGTCCTTTTACTTTACAAACTATTTCCTACCTTAAATAATAATTGGTTAAGTTACTTGAGTTAAAAAATGGAGAAATGCTCATGATATAACATTGTACAGTGGTTCCTCAATTATCGTCCTTAATCCGTTCCTGGAAGTGGGACTATTATCGAAATAGACGATTTTCGAATCAATTTTCCCCATAAGAAATAATGTAAATCCAATTAATTCGTTTCAGACACCCAGAAGTATCAACAACAATTTTTTTTTTTGCCTAAAAGATAGATTTACATGCACAAAAGAATGAATATTCAACATGACAGTTATCTTTATTGAAGGCTGCTGTTGATGAATGGAAGACAGGGAGGAGAAGAGAGGGAAGAGAGATTATTGTTTGGAAGGGGAATCCCCCTCCATAAGAACATAAGAACATAAGAAAGGAGGAACACTGCAGCAGGCCTGTTGGCCCATACTAGGCAGGTCCTTTACAATCCATCCCACTAACAAAACATTTGCCCAACCTAATTTTCAATGTTACCCAAGAAATAAGCTCCGACAACTCCACCCACTCACTCGCAAGTCCCACTCAAATCCAACCCCTCTCACTCATAAGAACATAAGAATGGAGGAACACTGCAGAAGGCCTACTGGCCCATGCGAGGCAGGTCCTTATCAAAACGACCTCTACCTAAAGCTACAGCTACAGCTGTTGGCATGGCCGACGCGGCAGGTTGTGTAGCGGGCTAGCTGCAGGATTTTCAAGGATAGCTCCTGGTCAAAGAGGCTGACCAGGTCCCTACTTAACAGAACTCAGTGTGAATGCTTTGAGAAGATACCAGAGCAGCGAACGGACATCCCAGTGCATCGTTTCAGCGTAAATAGATGAAGTGTTGTGCAGTTTTAGAGGGTTTGGTGTCATAGAGTCAGGACCAGTCAGCGCCTCCCCCCCTCTCTGCTGGGGGGGAGGGGGAGGGCGTGTGTAGTAAACAATGACCCTCTCATAACGCCTCACCCCTGCGCGTCTCCTCCGCCTCACCCACCCAACTCCCAGCGCCACCCCATCTATAGAGGGTACCTCTCTCCTAACCCGCGATGACACTGCAGGGAGTGCCGGGCTCACAGGAACTTCCACTACAGGGACAGCATCGTGGAGTTCGACCGTGAGGCAGCTGCCAGGTGTGCCACAGGTAGTGTGTACTCAGTTCCTCAAGCTTCAACATCCATGCACACGAGGGCCTGGGATCTTCAATCAACTTGGCGTCCACCAGGACGCTGACGTGTCCCTAGGACAGCTCTCCATCGGGCTGCTAACGGAGTCACTGGCTTCTTGGACCTCTTGGGGAGGGTCGATGGTGCTCGTGCAAGCAGCAGATCCCTGGGCAACTTGCTGCTGTTTCCAATGGCTGTCTACCGAGGAGAGACAGGCACCTAGCAACATCTGTTGTTGGGGCAATGGATGAATTCCCTACTATGTTTGTTAACTGCTCATTACTCTGTAATTTGTCTATGACTGTAATCATGTCATAACGTGTTTATCATTCATTACCTTTGAAACTTGTCATGATTTTGACCAGCTCTACCTGGAGCTCATTACCTTTGTAAATTCTCATGATTAATGTGTTTATGATTCATTACCTTTGCAATTATTCATGAGTGTGACCAGCTCAACCTGGAGCTCATTACCTTTGTAACTTGGTCATGATTATGACCAGATCTAGTTCATTACCTTTGTAACTTGCTCAGCTATCAAAACTTTGGAGTCCAGTCCCTGGACCAATTATGTACCTCTGTAATCTTTTGACTACCGCCCACAGGATGGGTATGGGGTGCATAATAAACATATTAAACTAACTAAACTAACTAAACCTAAAGCTACCCAAGAAATAACTCTAGGTCACTTAAGGGGTCACTTCCCTAGCTTAAATATAGATTTACATGCAGAAAAGAATGCCAAATAAATGTAAAGCACTAATAAAATGTATAAATGAACATTGATAATAGGGGTAGTTGATGAGTGGAACGGTCTGCCTAGTAGGGTGATCGAAGCTAAAACATTGGGTAGTTTCAAATTTAGGTTGGATAAATACATGAGTGAGAGGGGTTGGATTTGAGTCGGACTTGCACCTGAGCTTATTGCTTGGGTAGCATTTGTTCTGTTAGTGGGTTGGATTTGTGAAGGACCGGCCTATTATGGGCCAACAGGCCTACTGCAGTGTTCCTCCTTTCTTATGTTCTTATTGAAGACTTGTTTGTGTGAAGGAGGGATGGCAAGTTTATTGTTGGAGAATATGACACTAATATCAGCTCTACGGCTTATTTATCTATCACAATTCAACTAATGTGACATAATAAACAATATTATTAACCCTTTCAGGGTCCAAGGCCCAAATCTGAAGTGGTGCCCCAGTGTCCAAGAATTTTCAAAAAAAAAATTTGTTATTTTTTATTATGAAATGGTAGAGAATCTTTTTGTGAAGGTAATAAAACAAAAAGTATGAAATTTGATGGAAAATTGACGAAATTATGCTCTCGCGAATTTTGATGTGTCAACGATATTTACGAATCGGCGATTTTGCCGACTTTGACTCCCATTTTAGGCCAATTACATTATTCCAGCCAACCAAATTCTTAGCTATTTCACTAGTATTACTTCTATTCTATCGATTGAGCACAAGAAATCAGCAAGTCAACTGTTTCAACTACAAATTAAAGCGATCGGAAATTGTTAATTTGGCCAATTTAACACAAAATTCAAAATATTCCAATTTCAAAATAGGGTCCAGAATAAACAATGTAGGTATTCCTGGAACTAAACTAACATTTCCTCTGTTCATTAGTTACGTTTTGAGGCTTTACAAATAAATTCCATTTTGATTGTTTATTCACATAATGAATTTTTATTCACACCAAAAAATAGAAGATTTACTGTTATGCAATACTGTAATAATTGTATAAATATCATCACCATATTTGTGAATGCATATTAGACCCACCAGCTGGCGTGTATTAGACGTGTGAGGTCGTTTGTTTACTCTTGAATATCGGCAAAAATTTAACATTTCTGCTACTTTGAGCTCAGTTTCAAGCCATTTCCAGTGCTAAAACCAATCAAAATCATCTCCATTTCTGTAATATGTCTTCCATTCTATCAATTGAGACCAAGAAATCGCAAATACAACTATAAAAAACATACGAAAAAACACTGCAAAGTTGCTGTTTTAATCGAAAAATCAT